CGGCCCCCTCCTCCCTCCCCTACCGGGGTAACCCGGGTTATCGCCGATTCAAAAAAACAACGGTCTCCAGGGCGGCGAGGGAGGGCCGTCAGCAGGCGAGGGCGGGGGCCGCGGCAGCCCTCGCTCCGCCCCCCACGATCTCGGAGGCGACGATAGGGGCGAATAGCCCAGGGGAGAGCAACACATTTGCGGCAGTCGATGAATGGAGAGGAAGCATGTTGCCAAGTAGTTCCCAGATGTCTAAAGCATGCTTCATGCATATTTTAATTGGTAAAAACAGGTTTGAAACATGTTTAGAACATGTTGTACACATTTTCAACACACATGTTTTATTCAATGATAGGATTATTAGAGTGTCCATGGTCGTGGCATCCACATGTATCCAGGGGCGCCGATGATCTACGCCTTCGACAGGCTCCCGGGCGAATGCGTGTAATGCCCGCCCCTAGGCTACTCGCCCTTGTCGTCGCCGCCGACGATCCGCGCGAGCAGCGAGCAGCGCCGCGGGTCCCTCGCGCGCGCTCGGCGAGTGCCCGGCAGCGACGAGGCCGCTCACTAGTGACGCCGCGCAGCCCCGCCGCGCGCCCACCCCACTTCAAGCAGTGGCGAAGCGTCCTGGCGTGCCTATAGGCCTACCAAACCATGTTCTAAGAACCTTTTGTGGTCTCCACGACATGTTCTTAGAACATGTCTGGCTGGGACTGTCTTGTTTTAGCACATCGGGCTTACGTTCTAGGGGCATTGCTTCTGTTCTCAGAACGTTTTCGGGTTCTCAGAGCATTTCGTGGTAGGCCTATCGGCTTTCCGGGACGGTCGGTCCCTGCTCCACCACTTCCAGGGGGGGGGGGTCGCGCGGCCGGGGCACGCGGAGGAGGTGTGTGCGGCCGCACGCTGCCACCGCCACGCGCGAGGGTGCGGCGGCGCGGCGCGGGGGGCTGATGGCCTCGGCCCGCCTCGGCGCGAGCCAGCGTTTTTTTTCCATTGGGGCGCACGCATTCCTGGCCAAGCGGGGAGGGCGCATATACCGAGCGGGGCACGCATTGCACGCCCAAAAACACGGCGTCGGAGCTGAGGGATCCGGACACCCTTCTCTGGGAGAGGCGTCCCTCGCTTGGGTGGCCCACTTCTGTTCTGTTGTGACGCAAGCTGCGCCCCACGCCCCTCCCTCCCCCGCTTACTCCGCATTGTGGAAGGAAGGTGGGTTAGAGAACCGGTGCGGCCACCGCGAGGCTTTTGGGAACAGCTCCTCCTCCTCCTCCTCCTCCTCCTCCTCCTCCTCCTTCTCCTCCTCCCTGCCCCGCTCGTGCAGATCCTCTCCATGCACGTATATCAACATATCTCTATATGTATGTGTATATCTATGCATTCACATCGTACCCGCATAAGCAGCTCCCCCTCGCCACACCACGAGACGTGTCGGAAAGGAGGGCTAGGCGTCTTGCTCGAGGCTTCCTCT